AAGGAAAGGAAAGGAAAGGAAAGGAAAGGAAAGGAAAGGAAAGGAAACGAAAGGAAAGGAAAGGAAACGAAAGGAAACGAAAGGAAAGGAAAGAAAGGAAAGGAAAAGAAAAGAAAAGAAAAGAAAAGAAAAGAAAAGAAAAGAAAAGAAAAGAAAAGAAAGGAAAAGAAAATCCAAGATCTAAGTCTAAAACTTGCAACACTGTTATGGCAAACATTTGAATAAATCAGCCCATTGAAACAGCATGGTTGTTATGAACCAATACTTTTATTGTGACTCTGTTTTGTTTTGTTTGTTAATATGTTGTTAATGATTCAATGCCTTTCCTTGGTTTTACCACTGTGCAAATGTAAAGAAAGCTGCTTTTCATGTTAGTGGACCTGAGATAACTGTAATGGCCGTTACTGGAAGGAAAAGTGTATAACCAAGAGCCACAGCTTTGAGATGTAGTCCTAAATGAAGCTTTAAGTTTGTCTTTTTTTATAAAAATGAATATAAGCTTTAAAAAAGACTATGTGCAGATAGTTGGTAGCATGAAACGGACTTGAAAACACCAGAACTATTAAAAGTTGATTCACTGAGCATTTATTAAATTTAATTTCTATATCCTCTACTACCATGTGACTGAATTCTAACCAATAAGAATTGAGCAGACAGGGAAAAGGGGGTGGGAGAAGGATTGTGGAAGGAAGTTACCGGGAGGGGGGCAATGACCAGGATGCAAAATAAGTAAAAACTAAATTACAAATTTTTAAAAATTAAACAGATACAGGGAGGTATGGCTTACTACGTGGTCGAAATTTTATATGAAGATAAAAAGAATGTGTATGTTCACCTAGTAGACATAAAATCATACATGTGTATGAGTATATGCTAATACCTGAAAAAATGTACATATAACAGAAATATATATGTACATTGTATTTAAACCTGTACATATAAATAGAAATAGGCCCTCATTTATAGTACTATGTGCCAAATTCTCTTTCTGTAGATTAAAATATGGACGTTTCTATTTAACAAACACAAAATCTAATGTAGCATTTCAGGAAATGATGAGTTCACTGTTCCAATGACTGTTCAGTAACAGAACCCATGAACAATGGTAACAAGCCAGGAATTGTTTTTTAGTTTTCTTATTTATTCTCTCATATTCCTGACTGCAGATTCCTCTTCCTCCAGTCCTCCCTATCCCCCACCTAAACCTCCCCTCTCCCCCAGACCCCGCTGCTCCTTCATTTCCCTTCAGAAAATAGCAGACTTCCCATGGAAACCAATCAGACATGGTATAATAAGATGCAGTAAGTCAAGGGACAATCCTTCATATCAAGGCTGGACTAGGCAATCCAGTAGGAGGGAAAATGTCTGAAGAGCAGGCAAAAGAGTCAGAGATACCTCACCCCAATTGTTAGGAGTCTCACCGAAACCAAAGTTAAACAACCACAGCATGTATGCAGAGAACCTAGCACCCCATGCAGCCTTTATGGTTGCCACAGGAATATTTTCTTTAATTTAGGTTGCATATTTGTAACTTCAATGAATGACCAATAACATGGTCTGAATTAATGCATACAACATTAGCATTTTAAATGCTTTATCTGAGAGGACTGTTCATGGGGGAACGTTGCCTTCTACACCCCACAGAAGGTACATGACCAGTGTGTTACAGTATCCAAAAGGAGTCGCAGTGAAAAATGCAAGTCTCCCTGGTGAGTCATCCTTTCCTTTGCAAATGGTGTATGCCTTGTATAAAATACCAAAGAAGACTCACAAGAAGACAATGTTGAATTTTATGAAAATAAGAGCTCTTTCCTTCAAAATTAAAAAATAATATTTTA